GTAACCACTACACCAAACTGGCTCTCCCTCCAGCTGTAATATTTCTCAAATTAGTAAGTGCTGCAAGATTATGGCAATGCTAGCAGCAAGTGGCTACATCGAGCAGCACCTGGAATTATCCCAAGGGATACATAAAATAGGGTTGGAGTAGGCAAAATGGCATCACTCTCTACCTAGTAAGAGAAAGAGTAGAAAGCATGGCCATCTGACATCCCCCCCACCCCACATTGGTAGAAGCAGCAGCCAAATATCTGGAATGTACTCATTTGAATCAAAACAAGCACCACACAGTTGGCATAACCTGGCTCTCTTTCCCAGTTTAAACTGATGTTCCATGCAGCACAGAAGCCTTGTTGTTGTAAACAAAGGGGTAATGCTCTTTCAGAGGACCTCTAAACATGGGCTGAAAAGAGAGCTCTAGCATTTTTTCATAAGAACACTACAACTGCATATAAGCTGCCCACATGGTGCCTGGCCAGTGCTTTGTAAACCACCAGTCAGGTAATGTGCAGGCATAGGCCACTGAAAAAAACAGATGTCTGATGTCTCTTGTGGCCCATGTCAAAAACAATTGGAGGGGAAAAAGATTCACAGAGCTGCCTTCAGTGGCCATAGGAACTGGGCAGTCCCCAGCCTTGTTTGTGTATTCACACTAATGTTATTGGTAAGGCACAGTAGATTTTTCCTTTGGCAAGACTTGTTCCACAAGAAGAGAGAAAGCACTACTTTACAACTAGAACATTTAAAGATGAATGCAGGTGGCCTCTGCAAATGAGTTAGGCCTGAAACAAAGGCCATGTCTTGAGGACATGCCTTGTAAAAACAGTTTGCAAATCATCTTTCTGCCACAAATTGTAAGATGTGAGAGTGTAAAACATTGCTGGCTTTTTCTTTTCAGTATGACTAATATAACTTCTTTTTGCTGCTTAACTTGTGCTTCTTTTTGGCTCTCTGGTTTGAAGTACCAGATGGACACCATGCCACTGGGGTGACAAGGATGAGGTACTTTTGAACAACAATTCTGGCCTTCCAGACCATGTGTCCAGCACATCTGTCTTGTGCTGATAAAAATTATAAGAAACCATACTAAGGTCTATCAGGCTCTTAATTTATGAGAGCAATAGAGCATAGGGAGAGATAGATCAGCAGTGGTACTTCACTTGGACAACACCTGGTACTTAGGGTCCTGGTTGTGTTCCTCAGAGAGCTATATTATTAAAAGGGGGGAGGGGGGAAGGACTATAAGGTTTCCAGTCATCTGGAGGGTTCCCATAAGATAAAATATCAGATTAAAGGTAAAGGGATTTCTGTAGCAACAGGGAAGAGGAGCAGAATAAATGTGTATTTTTGGAGAAAAAGTTCTCTGGTATTTTGTTCACCTTTTATCAGTCTTATGGAAGGATTTGAGGCATCTGGAAAGACTTTCTGGCCTCCACAATATTCATAGGCCTTCACTTTAGAGCTGTTCTCTTCTCAGGAAAAGAAGGTTATGGCTGCCTATATTCCTAAGTCTATTATACTTTTATGGAGTTTATGGCCTGGAGTTTCCAAGCCACGCCTGGGAGGAACTCATTATATTAATGTGCACCAGAGACCTTATGGAACAAATAAACTCACAAGGCATCTGACATCCTCCCTAGGACCTGATCCATTATTTATTGGTGTGCCATATAAAAGACCTAAAGAGCTCAGTAGGAGCTTGAGTAAGAAATGTTCAAGATGGAAACTCTACACTCCTTATTTCGTTCTGAGGCAGCCTTCTTTGTTTCCATACATAAGGAGACTGGATCAAAAGCTATTACTCTTGAAATACAAAGTTGCATCTGGGTTGGGGGGTGCCATGCTTCTAAATATCCATTGCAGAATAAAAACAGTGAGAAAGTAATTTCTCCATTTCCTGCTTGCAAGTAACCAAGATGCATTGCCACTGTGAGAGACAAAATACTGGATTAAGATGATCCTTAAGTTGATGCTGTTCTTATGTAAATAAAAGAATTATTTACCTTTCTCAACTTTTAGAAAAACTTGTCTCCTGTCATGACATTCTATGGATATCTACCTCAACAAAATAAAAATGCTAAGTACAATCAGGTTGTTTTTTTTCTTAGAAGACAGTTAGTTTCAATCCATCTGCACGGGCTTCAGTTACATAGAACTATTTTCAGAAGATTCTCCAATTCTGCATCCAAGAAGCAATTTCCAAGTAAATAAAATTAATTCTAGCAGTTTTTCCTACAAATTTTCCATCTGCTGTAGTTTTTTTGGCCAGAGACCCCAGCTTCAGAATACAAGTAGTCCTCGCTTACCGACCCCAATTGGGACCAGCAATTCAATCAGTAAGTGACACAGTCATTAAATGAAACATCACGAGACCGCACCAGACTTAGGACATCAGTTCTGCTGAGGTCATTAAGCGAATCACCGTGGGTCATGAAGTGCAACATGACATGACCGTGACTTGTGACTTCCTGCCAGCTTCCCCACTGATGCTTGTCGGAACGCTGGCTGTGAAGGTCACAAATGGCAATCGTGACTGTGAGATGCTGCAACCATCATAAATGCACATCAGTTGCCAAGCACCTGAATCATAATCATGTGACCATGGGGACACTACGACGGCCACAAGTTTGAGGACCAATCATAAACCTACTTTTTTAGCGCTATCATAACTTTGGTCCCTGAATGAGGCAGTCGGTAAGTGAAAACTACCTGTATAGGTTTGAGCTTTGTGTATGCTGGCTATTAATATACTGAATGAGATATACAGACATACATAACAAATATAAATTATAAATGAAGGCTCTATTGATCAACATTAACATAAAATTGTATTTATAATTTCATGAGAATTAATAATTATAATTTCACGAGATGGGCGGTGACAAATTTGATGAATAAATTAAAAAATAAAATAAAATGAATGATAAGCTCTTATGCAATTACGCAGGATATGTTGCTTTTAGTCAAAGACAAAGACATACAGTTGGGATCATTCCTCCAGGCAGAGTCTCTAGACCAGAGGAGACCAACCCAACCCAAGATATAAACCTGTGTTGTCTACAATCTTGAATAATATTTAGGAGTTAATCCCAGAACTATGTAAGATATAAAACTATATTGTAGGAGCAGAAGAAATGGTGAAATAACAGTCTTCCAAAATACTTGAAGAGGATGTCTTAAAAAGCAGAAGTCAGCTTTCAGAACTCAAGAGCCACAAAGGGGAAGTGGAAAAATGGTGCAAGTTGGTAAAGCTATACGAGGAAAATAGGCATTATGAAATAGGATATGTAAAGGAAGGAACAGGAAAGTGAATACCAGTCAGTGGCTTATGCATGGGACAAATAGAACAGATCCTGAACCAAAAGACATGAAATGATGGATTTTTCAAGACCAGATCAACAAGCCAGGAAGTCTCTAAAGTCAATGTTTTCATAGAATATCAAGCAGTGTATGAAAGGGCCAACTAAGTTTAAGACACGGGCTATGGCATGCCATCAAGTTTCTAAACCACTTACACCCTTTCCTAGATCAGGGGCCCTTCAGACAGTCACTCATGCCCTAGTCACCTTGTGGCTTAACCACTGCAATGCACTCTGTATGGGGCTATCCTTGAAGAGCACCCAGAAGCTTCATCTGGTCCAGAATGCAGCAGTGCAAGCAGTGATGGCCGTGTCTCGTATGCCCGTGTGTAACACCTCTGCTTGGCAAGCTGCACCGGTTGCCAGTTTGCTTCCAGATGCAATTCAAGGTGCTGGTCATTACTTATAAAGCCCTATAGGGCCTGGTTACTTGAAGGACTGCCTGTCTCCCATAGTGTCTGCCCAGCTGATTTGATCCTGCAGGGTTAGTGGACTCCAGGTTCCTTTGATTAGACAGTGTAACCTATTTGGACCCTAGAAGTCTGCCTTCTCTGTAGCATGAGAAAGAGCTGGATGGCCCCCACTCTGCTGTTGTTTGGAAGAGCCACGAAGAGCTGGCTCTTCACCCAGGCCTTTGGTGAGGGAGAGGGAGACCCATTGCTTCATTCCACCTGGTCTGTCATTCTTGCTCTTTTGGAATGAATGGGATTGAAACACCCTTGAAATCTGGGGTGGATCAGACTATTTCTGTAGGTCTGGGTCATTCCTCAAAGGTAATCGGGTGGGTCTCTGCACAGACTGAATATAGGCATTATTAGGGACTTATCTTTTGTTGCAAGATTATAATCAAGATTCTTTGTTTCCATTACAGGGTGAATGAAAAATGTGTAGTCTTGAATCATAGGGAGAAAGCCTCCACTGGAATTACAGAGAGGATATTTTCCTTTATCCGTAAAGTATTTAGGATGAATAAGTAGGCTTATGCTGGGAATAGATCTAAGAAGAAAGTCTGCAAGACTTCCTTTGAGGAACCACAGTCTGATCCAAGGACTGCTTTAAAGAAACTACATTGCAATTTTCTCTCTGTTCATCTGAAAAATGCCAAGCTACAAGAATAAAAGTTGATACCTGACCAAGCTCATGGAAAGGTGGACAATAAATCACAGAAATTTTCTACACTGTGAAATAGACATGTGACCTTTTGAAATCTGGATAAGGGAAGATAATGTCAATACATCTTCAGAATTTTAAAAAAGGAATTAAAAACCATAGATTTATTTTGGATTATAGGAGTGGAAGAATCCAGCACTTGTCAGAACTTACTGAAGTATATAAAACTGGAGACATAAACTGTGTTAAGAACCCTGTGCATTAATCCTTATGAAATGTATAGATAATTTTACATACCATTTTTCAATATTTTTCTGCAATTTGTCACTAGTTTGCTTACCACTGCAATACATTTTAAATTTGTGTATAGTTTACTTAAATGATTGGCCTCCTTCAACTCAGTGGAGCAATTCAAAATAAAAGGAATTACAGAAAGAAACGTCCAGTGTGAAATAAGCATTTTGCTTTCCTCAGTTAGAAAATGTGTTTTATTTGCATTCCACTTAACCTTCGTGGAGTCCTTGGGGTTCTCTGAGCTTGGTTGTTTTCTTGCAAGCATTTAGTTACTTGGTTAGATAACATCTTCAGTGCTAGAATGTGGGGTTTGCTCTCCGTTTATATACAGTGGCTTGCCCTGCCAGTGTTGGTCAGGGTGTGGGTTTTGTTTTGTTCTATTTTTTCCCTTCTGGCGGTTCCTTGATTAAGGTATTGTTTATTGCTTGTACATCTGGTGGTAATCTTGGTGTTAATCTCAGCTTATCTGGGTGATGATTGCTGGTGAGGAGATGTTCTGGTCTTTTGTTTTCTTTTTTATTGTCTCTTTTGAATACCCTCGCATTTTTGGATTTAGCTTGGTCCAAGAGGCATGGAATTCCTGGGAGCCTGGTATTCAGACAAGGCAGCCATCAACAGGCACATCGAGATAAACAACATCTACACACTATTCAAAAGAGAATGGGCATTTGTGCTCGCTTGAATAATGTTCTTACACAGCTCCTCTTGTGGGAGGTTGGGTTGTTACTTTGGTAATGGAGTACTTGGCTGGTGTGGGTTGTCTCCCAATAAACTGGGGTTTCTAATTTGCCGTTGTTTCCTCTGC